ATACCTTCGTCTGATCCGTCACATCGTTTCTCGGTAGGCTCCACCTTTACCTGACTGCCAAAGAGGTTGCTGTAAAAGTTGCAAATCAGCTCGGCCATCTCCTCTTGGCTGTATGTTACGGTACCGTCAGGCCTGGCCAGAGAATCGGGGCAAGTGGTCTTCAGTCTGATCTCCCGATAGGCCCTTTTGACGCTTGTCAATTCTTCGGCTGCTTCGCATGCTCTGCGGGCGGCGTATTCCTTGTAATCATGCTCTACCCGGGCACGGATTTCTTTATTAAGGACGGTTTTTTCGATGTGGCTCATACTAGCAACTTTAGCTTTCCTCGTCCTCAGCAGCTCTAATGTCTCGGGAGTCAGACGCGGTCGCGGTTCAGAGGTGACGCGTGTTGTGGCCTTTTAACGACGCGGTCAACCTCGGCCAACAGGTTTGCGTACTCGTCGTCAACGGTGGCGAATATTCTAGTGGGTTTGCACACCGTGGGGGCTAGCAGTCGGACGATGTCAGAATTGACCTTCGTCTTGATGTTAGACTGCTGGGCTATTGCCCTGAGCCGCCGCTCCAATTTTCCGCTTATTTTGAACGTTGCCCTGAGCAACCTGTGGTCGGACCCGATATTGAACCGCGACTCGCTGATGACCGTCACGTCGTCGAAGTACCTGAGGCTCCCGGCTAGGATATGGTCCAGCGTGTGTTTACCTATCCCATTGGGACTGCGCCAGGTCCACCGCCGCCCCTGTCGCTTCTGGAAGAAGGTGTTGGTTACAAATAGCCTCTCCCGCTCGGCGAACTCGGCTAAGACCTCCCCCGAGGGTTGCGGTCTCCACGACCGTACGGACCGACGAAGCACTCGCCGGGACGGCCGCACCCGGTGACACCATTGAAATCGCCGGCGACGATAACTCTGGCGCCACGGGGTTTTGTGCGGATGGCTTCTGAAATTTGTTCATAGAAGTCCTCGACAACGGCGTCATCGTAGGCGCTGGTGGGAGCGTATGCGTTCACAACGAGGATCAGCGTTCGGTCATCGACCCGCACTTGGAGAAGTGCCAGCCTCTCTGATCTTATTTCACATGATACCACTCTGGGCGTCATGCGGGGGCTGATGACAAAGCCCACTCCGCCCACTTTTCCATTGCTTGCTCCAGCACCGAGATGCACCTCGTGCCCGGACCCCCACGTCCACGAGCCGGGTGCGCGCCTTCTAGTCTCCTGCAAACAACAGATGTCGATGCTACATTTGTCGAGCTCGCCAATGAGGTGGTCAATCTTGGCATCCGATGTTAAAGCTCGAACATTGATGGTACCAAAATAGGCGTACAGATAATTGTCGACTGCGAGATTTCTCCCCCTCTGCTTCACCCTCTGTACATGGGATCCGCTGCGCAGGACTGAGGGTACATTATTTTTAGGACCTTTCATAATGTGCTAGTGGCCAGAGACTGCCCACCGCCTAGCCTATCCTGGCGGAGAGCCCCCACTGCCGTATGTAAGGGCCGTCTCTCGGGCCGCCACCCTTTAGCCTACTTCCTGGCGAGGAGTTACGGCTACCCCCTCTTTTGCAACCAGAAAGCGTTTCCGCCCCCACAGCGCGACGAGCTTGGTGACACTGGTGAGTAAACTAAGCATAAAATTGGTCTTCCAAGAAGTTACGGGCAGTGAAACCTAAGAAAACCCGCGTTTTCGGGAAAATGGCTTGAAGAATACCCCTCAAAAAAGTAACAACGGGACTAATTTTTGAACTGCTGATTTTCAGGAACGCTTGGGTGCTCGTTAGAAAGCTTGAATCCTGTAGTTTATTATACCGTGTTCAGCTTCCCAAATGAATGACTTTGAAGGAAGTTATGATCGTTTGAAGGTCAAAAAGTCGCGGTTCCAAAAAATAGTAACGCAAACCCCCAAAAAAGTAACAACGGGACTAATTTTTGAACTACTGATCTTTCAGGAACGCTTGGGTGCTCGTTAGAAAGCTTGAATCCTGTAGTTTATTATACGTGTTCAGCTTCCCAAATGAATGACTTTGAAGGAAGTTATGATCGTTTGAAGGTCAAAAAGTCGCCTTTGCACAGAAAAAAGTAACAACGTACAAAATTTTTACTAAATTAACTTCCGAAGAATTTTTACCCATGGTTGGAGAGAGAATAATTTGAATTTTCCAAATCAAATCACTTCGGCGCTGAAGCTCGAATATGAAGGAAGTTATAGCCCTAGAAAGAGGAGTGTAAAAATTCTGTTTGCAATTTTATTTTTTGTCTAATAACTTATTCATTCCGAAGTGTTTGAGAACAAATAAGCACTCGTTAGGAAGGAGGAGCCACATCGATCCAAAATCCACCTGAATCTTCCAAACTTACCTGAAATGTAAAAAAGAAAAACTCCTCGAATTTCCACACTCCCCGTTCGACGCCTCTTCACCGTGAGCAAATGCGCTCCACCGTCAGGAGGCCAAAGGGACTTACGTAGCAATAAATATTGATGGCAGCACTGTCTCTACACAAGTGTTAAATACAAGGGGGAGTCGTATCAAATCACCCATGAAGGGGGGGGTCGCAAAAAATTTCCAAAGAGTAACAACAATAGGGTTGACCCTAGGTCTCAAGGCTAGTCCAGTGGGGGTGCCTTTTTTGAGTACACCAGCGCCTCAGGAAATCGGTTCGCAACAGTAACGCAAACGCTCCCTCCAATGGAACTGAATTACATTTTACGGCATCTTCTTACAGAAAGAATGAACATATCCCATGGCCTATCATCTACAAGTATGCGCTCTCACTTTCAGCACAAGTCATCCTCACAAGGATACCTCCGTATCAGATTTCTATGTCTATGGAAATATCTACAAGTGCTAATAAATCAACTAACAACTCGAAAACAAGGTGGCCGTGAGACGCAACTACTAAGCAGTTCATGATGAAAACTACCTCACGAATTAGAACTCTCTCTTCCCTCAGGTGCCAAGTAAACTTCGTCCCCTCGAGTCCCTCACTGCACTGGTACAATGCATAATGGCATCAATGATTGTTCTAGTGCGGAACATTATAAATACACTAGCACATTACCCTATTTTGCATGTTAAGAAGTAAATGACATGAGGAATTAGAGTGGTTTCCAGGCGCGCACATGGTGTTCCAACGATATGTAGAGCATCTCTCGGTACCCGTCACCTATCCGAAAGGAGAAATGCATGGCTCAACTCAGTACAATATTCGGAGCCCCAAAATAGTCCCTTAAGACATTTGTCCTAGTACCGCCAAGAGGTTCTCCTTCGTTGCACTGACACTCTTTCAACAATCATAGCTTCTTTCATGAATATTGTCTTACAAATATGAAAACGGCTTTTATATTTGTGAGCTTTCTGTACCCTAGCATATGCGAGGTTGCACTGCAACGTTTCAACTTAACATGTATATTTTCGGAGTTTACGTAGAAAATTGCATTTTCTTTTCGTGTAGTGGATCGTTCCTGTCACTTCAAACAATCCCTTCCGGGAACTCTGCTGATGCTCTTCAAACTCACATCTGCATTGAAGGGACAGGAATTGAAGCGCATAACATTGGTCGAGCTCGCTCAGGGACGCTCCGTGCACTGCACATTCGGACTCGAGTGCACAGTGCGAGCCGCGGTTTCTATCTACCCCTGAACATGCTAGCGTTAATGATCATTGCCGAGTCCGACTCTTACGACCCCTCTCTCCCACTGGACCTACTGCGACCCGCTCGTCAAGGATTTCTCAACGTACGCTTATCTCTGGTATACCCTCCTCACTCCTTCATTTACGTTTCCTATTCCCGACCCTGCTGCAATGAATGGCGCACTCAGTGCGCAATTCTTTGCGTTTTGAGCTTTCGAAGTATCCTATACCCTAACTAGGTTCTTAAAGCTGCGTACATCACTCCATTCATAGACATGCGGCCGACATGCCTAGCTGTGCATAAATGCATCCCATCATGGCAAGCATTCAAAGCAAACCAAGATATGTTACGTGCTGAACAAATTCACGATATAATAGCTAATTTTAGAGTAGATATCCGTTAACCATTTCATCCTGCTTCTGATTGCTAGATTTCTCTCAAAAATCATCCTATTGATGCCAGACCCAACAAACAGCATTTCCATTCAAATTCCATTTGGCAGTTTTTATGCATTTTATTTCCCCTCTAGTGAAACACTTGATGAAGATATAGATTGACGGGGGAGTGCAACAACACGTTTCCAGTGATTGTATCGAAGACTGTGGGTTGGTGACCGGCTTTTAATGTGACGAAACGTGTCAGTGGAATATTTTATAGTAGAAAGATTATAGTACATTGATAGTAGGATCCGTTCCTTATCGGCAGAAGTAGAATGTTCCTATTCTGAGAAATACCCGCTCACTTCCGCCCACTCGAGAAGCATCTCGAAGAAGAGGAATTAATCCGTTACAGTTCTTACAGGGTCGTCGACGACGACAAGCGTTGTGTACGTTGTTGATCCTTGAGTTTACGGCTACTCTTCCATAGGAGGAAGCATGACCACCTGCCTAGCACTTCCTCCACCGTTGTTCATCCTACAGGCAGAACTGATTGCCTCACTCGACCTCTGAGAGCCTTGTGCCTTTAATTATATCGAAGATACGTAAAAAGTGCATTCGGAGTGAGTGTGACTGCCACTGCCTTGTGAATTTTTACCTCAAATATTTTTTCCGCTCTCGGATTATATGCATTTTCGGAATCATTACTGTATGCACAAACCCCGTTACATTTCCAAGTGGTATAGAAGAAGTTCGGAATGCCATCATCGTATCATTTTAATTCTCTTCGTTTCCTTCTCGAATGGAAATGATTGTTAACAGTAAAGTGGATTGAGTGCGTTTGGGTTGCACAATGTTATAATTGGTTGGCATGTCTCATAAACACATTCCCATAAATATTTTGTTCATTCATAGCACTTGATAGTGTTCCACAATAAGTTAGAATAGTGGCAGCAGTATGCTTAAATAATCAACGCATAGCTGTGCGCTCGAACTAGACGATGGGTGAAGACGAAATCCTTGCCCTGGAATGATGATGATTTCAGAAAGAAGAAAGTATATTTCGCTACAACCAATTCTTTCTGGTCGATCACGTAGACTAGCGTCGTCGCTGAAATCCATTGAAAGTGGTGGACGCTGAACAAGTGTAGGCTCCCATGTTCTGATAGACAATCCACTCTCCAACAGACATCATTCGCATCATCTTTTGGTCCTAAAAGGGAGATTCAAGAGGTGCTCATAGTATCTCGGCAACTTCAACCAACCTCAATCTTATCCCTGGAGTGCAAGTTGTCCCTCAGATGTGCTTCGATACTCTTCCTCCTATCTATCTGAACGACTGAAATACATGCGGAGAAAGATTAGGAAGCCAAGCAAACAGCATTTTCCATTCAAATTCCATTTTAGGCAGTTTTATGGAATCATTTGTTTCACTCTAGGTGAAACACTTGTGAAATTTTCTTGATGACGCGAGTGAGTGGCAACAACAGCGTTGTCCAGGATGGGTGCGGAAGACTTGGGTTTGGTGACCCTTTTAATGTGACGATAAAGCGGTGGTTCAGTGGAATATTTATTAGTAGAAGATATTGAGAGTACATGGAGAGGATGGACCGTTCCCTACGCTCGCAGAAGTCGAATGTGTCCATCTTAGGAAACACCTCGCACTCCGCCACTCGAGAAGCCACTCGAAGGAGAGGAATTAGTCGATTACAGTATAGCAGGGGTCGTCGACGACGACAAGCGTTGTGTCCGTTGTTGATCCTTGCGCTTACGGCTACCTATTTCATAGGAGAAGCATGACCACCTGCCTAGCACTTCCTCCACCGTTGTTCACCCTGCATCGGAAGGTCCTACAGGAAGAACTGAATTGCCCACTCGACCTCTGAGTGCCTCGTGCCTTTAATTATATCGAACGTAAGAAGTGTATTCGGAGTGAGTGTGACTGCCTCGTGAATTTTTACCTCAAATATTTTTTTAGTTTCGTGCCGCTCTCGGGTTATATGCATTTTCAGAATCGTTACTGTCTGCCCGGACCCCGTCACATTTTCAAGAGGTGCAGAAGAAAGGTTTGGTTGGCAATGCATCTGTTATCATTTTCAAATTCTCTTTTCAGTTCCCTTTCCGGAAACCAATGAAAATAATGTGTGTTAGTGTGGAAGGGTGGGTGAGTGCGTTTATGGGTGTACATGTTAATAATTGGTGAAGTCTCATAAACACATTCCCATAAATATTTTATTCCATAGCACTTGATAGTGTTCCACAATAAGTCTAGAATAGTGGCAGCAGTATCAATCACGCATAGCTGTGCGCTCGAACTAGACGATCGGTGAAGACGAAATCCTTGCCCTGGAATGATGATGATTTCAGAAAGAAACGAAAGCAGGATATTTCTCGACAAACCAATTCTTTCTGCTGATCACGTAGATAGCGTTCGGTCGCTGAAATCCATTGAAAGTGGTGGACGCTGAACAAGTGTAGGCTCCCATGTTCTGATAGACAATCCACTCTCCAACAGACATCATTCGCATCATCTTTTGGTCCTAAAAGTGGGAGATTCAAGAGGTGCTCATAGTATCTCGGCAACTTCAACCAACCTCAATCTTATCCAGGCTTGTCGCCAAGTTGGTCCCCGATGGTGCTCGGATACTCTTCCACTACTCTGTCCCTGAAACCACAGAAGTCATGTGGACGAAAGTATCACGAAAGTACATGAAGTCCTTACAAAAAGGGGTGTTCCAACAGGATCAACGTGATCGAATAGTATGCAATTGAAGGAACCATACACTCCATCATTCACGTAGTACATGAACCCGCGATGGTCAGCATCCTCAGCTGAAAACTTATGTAGGTGCACATTCTTCTCAAGACGACTTTTAACTATTTTGCTTGCCTTATTTTAGTATATCCACTTACGACGTTTAGTTATTTTCTCAGCTGACACCTCTGTGGCGTGGATAATGTTGCAAACGAGCGTGAAGGGAGCAGCAGCGAAGAATCTGAAGATATGCTCCTTTTCATCCAATTTCATGCTTTCTTCTTTGAAATGATTCATACCTTCCGGGCTCCGCAATCAAACGTACACCGTACTCAGGAGGAAGAAACTCATCCACAGCTGAACGAATGACGGCAGCAATCTGAATCAGGAAAAGTTACAGAGCAAAAGCGTTTTCAAAAAGTATCGACTCACATCTTCAAATGATGTCTGCTGAAGTGTTCCCGGGTAACCTCCACCCAAATCGACCAGATTCATATCGAATCCCAAGCCCCGTCCGAGCTCGATCAAATGACGAGCATGAGTCAAAGCCTCACGAAAGGCTGAAGGATCGTTGCAGCCAGATCCCACGTGGAAACTGCAACTTCTATCATTACCGGATCTGAAGACAGCTTCGGACTAACTTCCGAAATAATAGGGTACCTTATGCCTATCACATCCACTCCAAGCTCTTTTGCGTGTACAAGCAGATGAGGCGCCTTCCTCACAGGGTCGGCTCCGAACTTCAGGTTCAGAGGGCACCGGGCTGTCGGGTCAGAAACAGCGATGCGTAGAATCATCCTGAAGCGTTTTCCTTCACTGACAAGTTCTCAGAAGACATGAGCTCACCACTCACTTGGCATCAGGATGCAGATGAGCGATTTTCGCCAACTCTTCGACACTATCAAATGTCATCATGCTAACGTTCCTCTCCTTTGCGTGGGTGATGAACGACCGAGTCTTACACGGATTGGCGTAGATGATTTTTTCAGGCCTCACGCCCATGTCCATCACCTAAAATTCATTACTTTGAGTGATTTGGAACACTTCAAGAACAGTTCGACGTAAAGATGGAACTTGGACTCGTACAATATCTATTTCCTCTCGGCTTGCACAGTCAAATCCCGCGCCCAGGGCGGCCAACGTGCGCACAAGAACACGATCCGTATTGCACTTGACTGCGTAGAAGGGCTGAAAATGCCATCACTCAACGATTATCAAATGGCGTTTTTCAAAGACCTCGCTAATTGTAAGATTACAATTTTCACGACTGAGTGGAACTACAACTGTTTTGCTATTGTAATATAACGAATCTGAAGAATTAGGCCTACACTTCCATGCCAGCTCTAGGTCTATGCATTGGCCGAGATAAGCTTATTCCGGCCATAAA